AGTCTCTTTAGAAGATCTGTATAATGGAAAGACAACTAAACTACAACTTAGCAAGAATGTCCTTTGTAGTGCATGTAATGGGTAAGTTTATTTGTATTTTTGAGTTCTCTGGTTGCTTTGTTGGCAGACAGTGTAATGAAGGATCTCCTGTGTCAGATCTTTATCAGTATTTGACTTACTGGAGCCTGTTTTCTGACCAGCAAATTGTTGAACTTGAATGATGCTGTTGATGGAACTGGAACTATTCAGGGGCTCTGTGTGGGGGAAGGGTGGGAGAGCAGAGGACCTGACTAATGGGCAGTGCAGTTGGGCATGTAGACATGCTGGCCTGCTGCTGCAGGGGGTTTGTGATCTCTTTGTGAAGAACTTGCTGTTGATGCCCCGCTGCTGTGTGCTGCAGGCAGGGAGGGAAGGCCGGCTCCGTTCAGAAGTGCAACGCGTGCCGGGGCCGGGGCGTGCGCATCATGATCCGGCAGCTGGCCCCGGGCATGGTGCAGCAGATGCAGTCCGTGTGCTCCGACTGCAACGGAGAAGGTAGGCCAGGCTCTGCTCTGCTCCTCACTGTGCTTGCTTGGATCCAGCTCCTGCTCAAATCTCAGGAGGAACTTATCCAGGACACTTCTGCCCTTTCCCAGTCAGCTGCGTCTCACTCTGGTGGCAGCATGGAGAAATCATTTCGCTCAGAACAGCAGCAAGATTTACAGTGTGTAATGTACTGAAAAACAGCCTGCAAGCTCAAGCAGTAGGGATTGATCATCTTTAAAAACACTTAGATGTGAATATTACTTACTGCTGTTACTCTTGTGTTAAACTAAAAACCAGGATGTTGCTATTTTAGGAGCTATTTGTCTTTTTGCATTTCCTCATATCCAAGGACAATCGTAGGTTAAAAATGGGAACCTAAAGTTGAATTTTTAACTTCTTCAAATTAAGATGATATCTTTGCCTGAATTGGTTCTGATTAGGGGTAGCAAGTTCAGCACTTCATGTGATTTCTTTTTATGTATTCTGCAGTTGGCAGAGTAATAACATCACCTTGTGGATGATTTTACTTGTCACAACACTCAAGCTACAAAGAGTTGTATTTTGTGACTTGTCAAAACATTTCATAAATGATGTTGTCTTTAACATTTCATATGCCTAACCTACATATTTTGTAGTTTCAACTTCATCATAATGTTATGCTTTGTTTCACAGAAAGGTGGTTTAAGGTGAGAAGCTTAATGTTTTAAGCCAAAGGCATCTGCTTGTGGCACTTAATACCGAAATCTTACAGTCCATGTGCCCTAATGCTTTGGTTACTGTGTATAGAGACAAGAGCTGACTGGAAAAATAAAGGTGAGGTAGAACAGAGCATTGAAGCCATTTTGGATTGTCACCCTTCAGTTTGCTGGAAACAGTAATCACCCTTGTAGGGGTGAATCTGATGTGACCAGCTCTCTTTCCCTGTTTTTGTATGCAAGAGACTGTAGTTCTCCAGGCTGCATTTACTCAGGACTGTCTTGTGGGGATATTCTGGGAGATGAGGCAGTCAGAGAACTTTTGTTTTTTCTTCCTTCCCCATTTCTCAGCTAGAATAAATGAAGCCTGGATTTCCTCTTGTGAGGAATTCATAAAGCAACATTGAAATCACTACTTGTGTTGCAGAAATTCTTCAGCTTGCTTTCAAATAGTTTTTCCTAGGAATTGGATGCAATTATGTCAAGATCTCTGAACTCAAAATTTGTCTTTATTTAGGTGAAGTAATTAATGAAAAAGACCGCTGTAAAAAATGTGAAGGGAAGAAGGTGATCAAAGAGGTAAAAATACTTGAAGTCCATGTAGATAAAGGCATGAAACATGGGCAAAGAATTACATTCAGTGGAGAAGCAGATCAGGCTCCGGGAGTGGAACCAGGTGATATTGTCCTTTTACTGCAAGAGAAGGAGAATGAGGTAATGCTTTTGAGTTGATCTTTTAAATGCCTTTTATTCCACTTGTTAATATTTAAGTTCTATAGATGGCCATTCATTTAAAGTAATTGATACAGTTGCAGCTCTGGGAGAGACGGGGAATAGCTTTTAATAGATTTATAGTGTGTAACACAGCTTTCATGGTGAGCCAGAAAAAACTGGGCAAGTCGTTTGCCAGAGGACTGGGAGCTTCTGGTGCCTCCTAATGCTAGCAAGAGGCAGCTGCTCAGATAAGCTCTGACTGACTTTGCTACAGTGGATGCAGTGAAGAGCCATTCAGGATGTTCACTTTAGTCTGCTTTGCTCGTGACACTAACAAAATTCTTAGCGTGCCTTTTTTCCATGTCTTGTGACGTGGCAGGGAACTCCTGATAAAACCCCCAAATGGTGCTTTCTGTGTCTGCTACTCTGGTTCTGGAAGTAACACAAAATAGTGATGTTGTAATTAACTTAACAAAACAAACATTATTATTTTATACTGGTTTGGTAAGACTTCCGTTCACTGTATGCTGGAATCACTGCACTTTGGAATTAAATGTTGCAATTTATCTTCTGTTAAAACTCATGTGGGGTAGAGTTGAGGTGACTGCTCCTTTTTTAATTCTAATAGCTATGATGAAATAAGAAACAGTTTGTGTGTTGCACTTGAGAGTTTTGTGTTGTGACAGAGTAGCATGAAGTACAAATTTAAACTACAGTCAAATATTAAGGATATAATATTAGTTATCTGCTCATTAGGTACTTTGTAAGCTTTTCAAAGCTGTGTCAAGGACTGCTAATCTGCCAGTCTGTACTTTGTCCTAGTGAGTAAAACTAGATAGACTTTGTTCTTAAAATTTCTCTTCAGATGGGACTCAGTGGACAAATGTCCACTATCCATTTGTCTGCCAGTGGACAAATTGTAAGATTTACTCTGATTAAGAATCCTGAGTTATGTGGCCTAAAGATCTCGCAGCTATGGGCTAAGTGATCAAAGTCCTGCTGTAGGTCAAGGGAGCTAAAGCAAAAATGCTTGAGGACAAGAGGTGAAAAACGAAGATGTGGTTTATATACTCCAGTGCAGGTGCAATGGTGTCAAACTGTTGTCAGTTTTTTTTATAGGTTGCTTGTGTGGAAGATGTTGGGGGTGAAAGTTGGGGCTGCTGTACAGGCCTGGTTTAATTTGAAGCTTACCTTGGTGTGTGTGTGGTTTGGCTTATTATAGATGACACTTGGTCAGGCACAAACTTCCCAAGCATGTTAAGCCATCTGAATGAATGGAATCAGGTTACTGCATACAAAGGCTGTTGCTCTGACATTGAGTTTTAAGGATAAATAATAATGAACTCTCAATAATGAGTCTGGTGGAGTTGTGATTGCAGTACTAGAAAGGAGATTTCCTTTGTTTCCCAGGTGTTCCAGCGGGATGTGAATGACTTGCATATGACACACAAGATTGGACTTGTTGAAGCACTGTGTGGATTTCAGTTCACATTTAAGCACCTTGATGGACGTCAGATTGTGGTTAAATATCCTCCTGGAAAAGTAATTGAACCAGGTAGGCTAGACCTGATAAGGATTTCTTTGATTATGCTTTTGTGACTCTTCAGCACTTAATCCCACCCTTGTTGTCCTGTTAACTGAGCCCAGGCTGGGGAAACAGAGAGCTGTGTGGAGAGAGAGTGGCTCTGCAGCAGCACTTCATTACTTTACTTCTCTTTGAATTGCAGGTTGTGTTCGTGTAGTCAGAGGGGAAGGAATGCCACAGTATCGCAATCCTTTTGAGAAAGGGGATCTCTACATTAAATTTGATGTTCAGTTTCCTGAAAATAACTGGATTAGCCCAGAAAAGCTTTCAGTAAGTAGCTGTTCAAGCAAAAATGTGGTGTCTTACTTGACAGAGTGTGCAAAGAGCCTGTGTTGTGCCTCATGGGCTTGCTCTCAGTGCTTAAATTCAGATGTGAGTAAAGTTCTTTTAACCTTTCTTATGGGCCATGTGTTACTTTGAAATAGCCCTTGAAATATGAATTTTTGGAAGCCGTATTTAAGAGCTGTGCAGATGGTGCACAGATGAGGGCAGGAGGAGAATCTTTCTGTTTCTGTGTGATAAGTTCATGGAGTGCAACTGTATTTACTGATTGCACTTCTGGTAGATGATATGTGGAGCTGTTGGTTTTCTTGAAGTGGTGTCTTCCAGTTGATACAAATGCTTTTGAATGACTCTGCAGTTCAGGAATTTCATCAGCATAGACTTGTAAGCCAAACCTGCTCTTAGAGGTGTCTCAAAGATATGGGAAACCAGTCACTTGATTTAGGTCTTCTAGATGCAATACTGAATGCATTTCTTTCTTTGGGGCAGGAACTTGAAGATCTTCTGCCAGCTAGACCAGAATTTCCCAATGTAATTGGTGATGCAGAAGAGGTAGATCTTCAAGAATTTGATACCACTCGTGGTTCAGGTGGTGGCCAGAGACGTGAAGCTTATAATGATAGTTCTGATGAAGAAAGCAGCCATCATGGACCTGGGGTACAGTGTGCCCACCAGTAAACATTTGTCTAAAAAGTTGCACAAGGATTTTCTTTCAAATTTTGCCTGACTTGTTTTCAACAATCCAGCTGGATTGTATAAGTAATCCAGATGAACCAATGGACATCTATTGCTGTATGTGTAACTTTTAAATTGGTCTATAGTATCTACAGAGTGTAATTTAAACTAACCACAAGCTTACATCTTCATTTTGACTGTGTAGCAGAATAAAGCACTTGAAAGGAAGACGAGACTCCTTTTCACATGGGTTTTAAGTTTGTCCTCGTATCTGTGCTTGATTTTTACCAGTTTTGTGTAGATTTTAAGTTTCATATTTTAAATTCAAATTCTACATTGTAAAGTTTGTGTACAATTTGTCCTGAGGCTTGGTATTTGGCTGCACCTGCATAAGCTGCTACAAGTAGAATCAAGAATTTCATAGCCTGTATCTATCATCTAGATGCATGGTAAATGGGCTTTGCACATAATGGGTTTAGAGCTGACTGGGAACAATGAAAGACTAAATTAGAAGTGGTTGTAAGTTTTTTTTCTACCATCTTGTGAACGGTTTCTGAAATTAAATAAAAGCAGTTGGTGTATAATATATTTCTTTTGCCTTGTAACTCTTACTTTTCCAGTGGCTTTGACTAGTCTGTGTATGAAGAGACTATGTAGATGATAGACATTTTATAAACACAGGGAGGCTGAAGCTGCCTTAAGACTAGGTGAAGGTTGGATAACAATTGTGTGCCACATTCAAGTCTCTTCCTGAAATGAGAGATGACTAAAATGGGCACAGGGAAGGCTGCAGCCATGTCCCCTTTGTGTGAAGAAAACACAAGGATATCTGAATTCAGTCTAAAGATAACAAACCCCTTAAATGGGGAATGATTAAATTTTGAAATAATGGTGTCTTTCTCTTAGCCTTTGAATCCTATTCAAAGTCTGATTCAGCCTCACTTCCTAGAGAAATGTTTCCAGGTTAAAAAAAAGAACTGTTTAACCTGGAAACATAATACATGTAGATGGTTTTGTTACTTTTCTAGTAGTTTGCACTTTGGTTTAAGTATGAAGATATTAAAATCTCCAGCTGCAGTTCTATTACTATTAATTGGCAAAAAAGCCAGAACAAAGCAAAAATGTGACCTTAACTAAGGAACTGTTGTGCATGAACAGTGTTGGGTTGGTAAGCTGCCTCTATAGCAAGGTTTCTCTCCTGTTTAAGTGAGAAAGTTGAAGCTCTACTTTTCTTTACAAATCTGAAGTGTGACTTGTTTAGTTATTTTTTCTGATAGTTGTTGACACTTTATTGATGAGGTTGGAGGGACAAACTCCAAGGGTTTCAATGTGCTTGGGTAGGCATTGGCATTTGAGTGTTGCTGAACATCCTTGTTATAGACTCTAAAAATGAAGCAAAAATAAATACTGTTTGATCTGTATTTCAGTACTGACTTATGATGTGGCATTCTCTAGTGGCTCTTTTATTTTCATTTATTAAAACTTGGGGTTGCTTTTTGTGAAGCCATGGTTACATGCTGATCCTTTCTCCTGACTGCTCTCACCAAGGAGTCAGTCCCTGTAACCTGCAATGCTTAAACAATTACACCACCTGTCTTCTGCTTGTAAGTCCTTGCAAAATAGAGTAACACTCTAAACCTTTAATCCCCATTCAGGTTCTGTGGCTTTTTTGAAAGGGAGGAGAGGAAGAGATTCATGGTAACTTTTCAGATGGCTGAAGTGAAGGGGTGGAGGAAGAGCTGATCACTGTAGGGCAGTTGTGCTTCAGTCCCCAGCTGGCATTAATTTGGGCTCCTGCCAGCAGCACCTGATAAATTCTAATTTTACCTGTCATCTTGCACATTACTGTCATGTCACACCCAAGACTGGAAATAATTTTTATTCCTGTGTTAGATTCATACATGCCACCACATACCTAAAGTTATTAAAGTGTCTTAAGGCTGTTCAAAAATTTAGCACCTTGTATTTCAGTTTATTTGTGAGTTGATATTAGAGAAACTTATTTCCTATATACAGCCTCTTACTGTTCATTTTGCTGTGAACTAAGTTAAAACCTAACCTAAGCCTTTTATAAAGAAAAAGTATAATTTTCTTCTGCTGTGCTATCCTTCATAACAGGAACTTAATAAGGCACATCACATGATATAAAGGCTTATTATAAACATTTACTGGGCAGTATACAGCTTTATTAAGACATAATAGACATTATTTCAACACTAGGGAGGCAGCAGGCAAGAGCAGTCACCAATGTTCTGTAGTCACCAGACAGTTCCATTAACTTGGCTTAGGTGTTACCTTTCCACACAGGACAGTCAGCTCACTCTGAGGGAGGAAAATTCATTTTAGCTCAAGCTGCCCAAAAGAACTTGAAAGAAAGGTTGCCTACTGTTAAAGCAAGCAGAGAGCACTTACTCACTCCCCACTGTGCATATGGAGGCAGGGCCATAACAAAAACCACACAACAGCTCCCAGAGCTTTACCTTCACTCTATACCTGCACAACTGTAAACTGGTGAGCATCTCTCACATCTGGATAATTCCCATTACTTCAAACAATAGCCCAGGTGCCCTCATCTTCAGGAGGGCTGGGCAGTAGGTGCTACAAAGTTCTGGTCCCATTTATTTTGCTTCACACCCATTAAGGCTGTTCCTGTTCAACTGCAGCAGGGACTTACCAGGTATGCAGTTCTTACTCAGCAAGGGCCACAGAATAATGGATTATAAGAAGACTCAAAACTGAGCTGCAGCTTTGTCAGCCTTTGTGAATGAGAGATAAGGGAATGGCAGTTTGCTCACGTGGCAGGACAGCCACCAGAGCAGTGCAGAAGGAAGAGTTTATGCTCCTGTGATCCCTCCACTGTCACCAAACTGCACGTGCTTATGTAAGTGCAGTTCCTTTTACACATGATCCATGTGCAGCAGTTCTTTCCTCCCTCCTCCCTCCAACTGATGCCAGCCAGTTGAGGCTTAAACTCCAAAGAGTTGAAATTTGCATTCATGCCAGAATGTGAGATGAAAGCCTGGGCCCAGGTGTGTGAATGCAGAGATCTCTAAGTCTCCTAGTTCAGGCTTACCACCAGGTTATGGATGTGCTGTACTGTGTCCTGGTTTAGGAGCTGCACATCAATATTGCGGAGCTCTCCACCAGCCGTGCACAGAGTCTGTGAAGAGAAACAATTCTAAGATTAAAATTTTTCTTGCATGCCAAGCTTCTCTGAAAGCTTGGGGAAAGCTTCATGGGCTCCCCTGTACATTGCAGAACTTTGGCAACCGTTTTCCTTTCGTTTAGCAGCATGTTATTTAGGAATAGCAAGAGCTATCACTATCACACTATGTGAATTGATCAACTATTGTCAGTTGAAAATGCTTTTTTTAAAAAAAAAAGATACCTGTCCATCAGCCAGGGGAATGTTGACAAATGGAACACTTTTATGTTGGGGTACTGATTTACTTCTCTTTAACATGCCTTGAGCTCTTCCACTGGCAGGTAAAGTTCTTGAGACAGTCTGTTGTAATCCAGCACTAGAATACAATGAAAATGTTACTTTGAGGTTAACTTTCTGTGCTCTGCTGGAAATTTTCAAGCAAGAAATAAATGCCAGTAGTAGGAAATACACCTAGGAGAGAGGCAGTCATGTTTAAATTTTTCAAACCCAACCATGAGCAGCACTTATGGGCACTGCTGGGTAAGGCTTTATGACCCTGGCACTGCAGTAACCTTGTAAGCCTGTGACACAAGATGACATTTTGGCCACTCAGTAACGAGAATATCCACTCTCCAATATCAGCAGTGAATGTTTACAGTTTTGGAAAGAGGAAACTTTGTGCCTCAGGGCTTAAGATAAGACATGTCCTCTATCTGTCTACTACAGAGGGAGAGAGATATCAATAAATACCAAAGCTGCTACCTCTCAGAGGCACAGCGTGTGTTTTATGCCATGCAGAATTCCTAAGTTTCTATTATACAACAGTTATTATTTTACTTTAAAAATGTAAGATTTGGGTGTGTTCTGCATAGAAACAAGCCTCTGACATTTATAGCAGGCCAAGGTGAAACAGAACCACTTTCTGGTTTCAGGACCCATTGAAGTTGTTCACCCCCTCACTTCAGCTTGTGCCAAAAGCAAACTCTGTAGTGTATGCAGAATGATACTAACTAAAAATCTTGATTGATCTTCATACACTGATGATTATCAGTGTATTTGGTTGAGGGGTTTGTGGGGATTGGTTTATTTTTAACAAAGCAGTATTGGTGACATTTTAATCAAGGATGGGCTCTGAGAACCAGTTTGAGATGCAAGTCTGTAAATAGTGAGAATAGCATTTATACTCTAATTACTTTTTTTTTTTAACTGACTTAGTTAGGACATCAAATCCTGTGCCTCCACAATAATTTAAGCTAACACCCACACCCAAAGCAGGAGGTGTAACTGGTTTGGCACCCCTACTGTCACATTTAGTGGCAGACTACGAAGATCTGTTCTATCTACATTGATAATAATACATAGTGTCTTGGTATTGAACAAAATTATTGATTAGGAGCAAACTGAAATCTCCTTACCTTCTAGCTCCCTTTGGAGTGGCTTTGTGATTTGTGGCACTGCAATGAAAAAAAAGAGACTTAGCATCCTTCTGCAAGCTGCACTAGCAGAAGACACTAAACAGCCACTAAAGAAGTAGCTATTTGCTTTGTATTTTGTTGGGGGTTTCATTTTGTTGGTTTATTATTTTTATTTATTTCCTCCTCATCTACTTTTACTGTAAAGTTTTAGCTAGGGTGAAGGTAGACACACAGTGGATTAGAGAATGCTGAAGTGCCCCATGACAGGGATCTAGTGTGAAAAACACATGTGAAAAAGCCCTCCTGAGGTAAACATGACACAGTGGGATTAAAACCATACAAGAACACAAGAATAATTCATGTTACTGAGCAAGGGAGGGCTGCAATACCCAAGTTAGGTGTTTGTTACAGAACAATTAAGTAGTGCTAGCAGAGCAAAGGTGCTTTCCTTACATGCTCACTTCCATTAGTAATGTTTGGGAATCTGTACTGCTCCCCTCAGTTCAGAACTGTGCACATGAATTATGCCTTCATCAGCTACAGGTGCTTTTTTGCTCAGGTTCACATCACCACAGTGCATCTCAGGTTATGGGAGAATCCTTGTCAGATGTATTCCCTTTGGGCTCAAATCTCAGCTACTACATTTGAAAATAATTGTGTTCAGCACTCAAAAATTCAGGTCAGTTAAATAAGCTATCAAAGATCAGTCTTACCTAGAAAGAGAGTTCAGTTTGCCACTTAAACCAGAGGTCAGTGAAACCAGCGACCTGGTTTTGGAGATCTAAAAATTTATATATAAGACTGCAGTTAAAAAAGGTAGCATTTGAAAGCAAAATGATAGGTATTTGCAGGGACAATACTGTAAAAATTCCCTGTTGAAAAAGGGTAGCTAAGCCCCATAGTGTTGCCTTTGATGTATATATATATATATATATATATATATATATATATATAAAATGCCAAATATACATTTAGAAGAAGTTTCATAATGCCAAAACATATTTATTCCTACTGAAGTTCTGTATAACCAACCACCTAATATACACCCTTCCAGCTTTTAAGCCTTTTTCCAGTAGAAGTCTGTAATTGCACAGAATCTTTTTTGCATTTGTTGTCAGCTTGCTACATTAGTGTCTGGCTGAGGAGCTGCACTGCCCAGACAGACTGAGGTGGCAAAACTAAAACACTTGATTTGGTTTAGAGACAAGAGTGCTATAACTACTCAGTTATAGAAAAACATGGATTAAACACGAGGTTGATTTAAAAATAAAGTTTCAACAAAATATGGTTCCTCAAATCATCGAGACTTACTGGCAAGTCAAGAGAGAATGACCATGCCAGTACTTGCCAGCCTGTGTTATTAGTCACTAGAAGTGCAGATACCATATTTCATTATGAAAATAATTTACAGTTGGCCTTGCTTAACTTCAAATACATTACATTTAAAATAACTGACTTTTCCAACAGACAGCAGAGCACCAGCCTGCCTTCTCATGGATCTAGCAGGGCTTGTGGCAGGTCAAAACTGATTAGGTCCTTATGTTTTTTGAATAAAAACAGAATAAACTTACTTTTTTAGTTATTTTCTTTGCAGAACTGTGCTTGGTATCTTCATATTCAACAATTGTAGTTACCTTAACTATAAATGTATTAGCAAGACAAGGAAAATAAAGATCTCATGAGGAGCACAAAACACCACTTCAGCCTCATGTTTGAAGCCTATTTCCCTTCCATGGACAGCTTTGGCCCTTGTGCCATCCAATGTCATTCACTTGGGACACAGGTCAGAGCAAACTCTGTGTGTTCAGCAGCACTGGGACACACAGATAATCCCTCAGTTACAGGACCCCAGATAATCCCTCAGCCCACAGAGAAAACAGAATTACACCCAGTGGTAGTATCCTCCTTACTGCATATTTGGGAATATGGAAAAAAATTGTGTTTCCTACAAAGCTCAATGGGCAGAATGTGAAGGGAAACCTAAGAAAAGAGAAGTGGCTTTCCTAGCTCTCCTGCTATACTGTAAAGCCTTAAATCTGTCTCTTCTCACCATTTCCCCTGACAAATTGCAAAGGAGAGAAGCTCTTGTCTCATGCTTTAAAGTACTTCTACAGCAGCATAGCTCATGATCCTCCACACTGAATGCTTGGGGTCTGTTATGCACTTTTCCCTCTTATATTCTTCAGGCTTAACATTCATTTTACAAATGCTCAGTTCAAACCAGTTAAAAAAAAAAGAAAATGCAGGAACTATAGGCTACGTATTAATGAGTTGACCTGCCTTTTTTGCTGTTGGTTCTCACCAGTTTGGGATTTGGCATGTCTTCTACAGAGCAGTCAGTCTGAAAAAAATATTTATCCAACAAGGGAAGGTTGTCAGATTTTTCCCAGTAGATGCATATTATGTTACAAGAGGCAGTGAACTAAAAGGGCATGAAAGCAACTGACAGGAAGTGGGATTAGCTAAATACCAGTTGGTTTTTTAGCTTTTTATGGAAACATCTGAATTTCTGCCAGCAGAAGATCCTAAAACTTTAGGTAATGTTCATAACTGCACCATGGCTGGCTGCCGAGTCATTTCATGTCATCTTCTATTTAAACACACAGCCAAATGAAATAATTTGTCTGAAGTACTTACAGCAGGGAGAGAAAAATTCTATTCTGTAAACTGTGATAAGATTTGAAAACACACGCTCACCACTGCAGCAGCAAGAGCCATTTCCTCCCGTCCTTGCAAATCTGTAACTCAAGAAATTATAACTTATTTAGATGCTATTATTTACGTAATTTTTATCTTCAGATTTTTATGAGCTCAGAAGCCAAACAATAATTCAGGATTACAGTGGTTAAATAGGTAACCCTAGGTCAGCATATGTGTTACATTTGAACAAGATTCCAGTCTTGTAGGAAATAACTCCTACAAAACAACAATGAAAATCTGAGGCCATGTCAGTGTTTAACCTTGAAAGAATCCTGAGTGTAGGCACACAGGGTATCCCCCACATTCAAAGAACCACCCCACGCTCACACTGCACTGCAGACAGCTAATGCTCTTGGGCAGAACTTTCTCCAGAAGGATACCAAAACACATACTCAGTTACAGTAAACTCAAGTTCTTCAAGAGGTTAAGGTTTGATATCTGTGGCCCCTACAATTTCCAGCTGCAAGGCAGATTCCAGAAACATCAGTTCTCACCAGAATGTACATCTGATGCTGAGTGTACACATCTTAAACCTCTGCATCAATGGGAGTTAAAATTAAACTTGTTTGCTTATCATCACAGGTATATGACCAGATTACAATGGCCCAGGAGAGTTCAAATTGACAAAGAGAAAATAATCTCAGTGGCTAAGGATGAACAGATTCAGATGAACAAAAATGGTTGGTTTTACATACAGAAAACAGTAGGTTTGTAATTATTTCTTGTCTCTGCAGACTTTAAATAATATTACCTAAGTGCACACATAACAGTACTCTCCGGACTAGTCACCAAATAATTCTATACCCTGTGTTACACAGATCAGTCTACTTGAACAGGAGTGCTCAGCGAGCATCTGCTGGGTAACAGCACTGCTCATCTGCTTCAGGGCAGACAAAGCAAACCTTTCCACGAAAGGCAGCAAGTTCCCAGGTGTTCTCCCGCAGCCCCGGGCACACCTCTGTCCGCACCCGAGCACTCTCACCGAGCACCTCTTTCCTTCTCATCTTCCTCACGGCGGCCGGCATCGTCAGCAGCTCCACGGCAAACGCCTTCTCCGCTGTCTGCAAGAGCGAATCGAGCTCCTTCTTCATCTCCTGGATGTGTTCCTTGGCTTTAAAACAAAACACGCTCTTATTGCCACGCGTGTTACGTGTTTTCAAGTATAAGCACTGCAAGACCGCGCTATAAAAGAAAGTTAAAACAGCGATTTATCCGGAGAAATCTGAGCGGGGAGTGAGAGCGCCTGGAGCCTCCATCAGCGGCCAACCCGG